GCAGAGATACACGGAGGAACGCAGACGAGCCGACAAGGAGCACAGGCAGACACCAACTATAAATACACACACCAGGTAATCAGGAAATGGCACACAGGAGGGGACACAGCTGGAACTAATGGGCATAACGAGACACAGACCTACAAAGTAAAACAGGAAACACCCAAACTGTTTTACAGCACAACACGGGGACATGAAGGAAAGGCACAGGTAGGGCTGACAAAACATCAAACTAGAGATTCAACCCTAAATTAATACAAATCAGAATAAACACAAAATGCTGGGTCAACGACCCAGGACCATGACAATGACAGAGAAATTCTTTTTGGAAAAAACAAGTTCCCAGACTTGTTATCAGGGAAGTTCAAAAGCCTGCATCTCTGATAGATTAGAGGTGCATTAGTGTTTATGGAGTTGCCACCTTCCAGGCAGTTCTGGGACTACAGGTGCAGCAGGTGGTGCTTTTCTATTTGTGCTCTATCCTTTTATCTTTGATATTTTCTCCTATTTTCTCCCACTTGCTTTTTTTTTCTCCTGCCTGTTAGCTTAGAAATGGTCATATTACACTGTAATAACTGAAATAACACTAATAGAAATGAATACATAAACGAATACAGAAACACACAAAATGGAGGAGCATATAGAGATTTTATGGCGCTCATCTTGGAAAAACGAAATATGTTTGGCACAACATGGGAGTCTGCTAATAATTCGGATTACAAAAGCTGCGAGGCAGGACAGGTTTAATGGGGGGAAAAGTTGTTTTTCTGATCTAGTTCCCTTCTGGGTTTTTAGTCTATTTTGTATCCATTTAGTTCGTTATGTGTTCCTGCCTCTGTTGTGTTCTTGTATCAGACCTAATCTCATTTCGGTATTGTGGCACTTGCTCCTTGTGTTAGTTTACTGATAATTGTGTAGTGTTTCTAGTTTGAGGCCTTAGTTTTACTTCTCTGGGCTCTGTTCTGGGTTATTAGGTTGTGTTCCTTTCCTCTTTGTAATTCCATGTTTAGGTACTTCATGTTGTATGTTAGGCGTTGTTTGTCTCCTGTGCTTGTGTATGGTTTAAAGCCTGTGGTGTCATCATTCCTGATTTTTTTATTTTTTTCCCTTTATGTCCCAGCCTTATCAGTTCACTCCCGAATCCTGATTTCTGCATTTGGGTTTGATACACTCAATACACAGCTCTACACCATAGAGTTACTGCCATCAAATTCCATCCACCCATTCTCTTACATTTATCCTTATCAGGGTTGCAGGGTATCTGGAGCCTATCCTCAGTCCAAAGACATACAGTTATTGGGGTTGAGTTAAGTGGTAATTCTAAATTACCCATGAAAGGTTGTATGTCTCTCTGTGTTAGCCCTGTGACAGACAGGCAGCCTGTCCGGGGTGTACCCTGCCTCTCACCTTGCAGTAGGTGTGACAGACTCCAGCCCCCTGGGACCCTCACAATAAATAAGCCATTAAAATCAAAATGAATTATTTGTGTATCTTTAAATTTTCCATTTTATCAGTTTTAACATTTGATATGTTTTCAATGTTTGTGAATAAGATATGGGATCATGAGATGTGTAAAGCATTATATTCTGCTTTTATTCAGATTTCATACACTGTCCCAGCTCTTTTGGGACTTGTTGTATCACATGTGAGATGCTGAAGTTCTTTAAAGTAATTATTGTTTTTTTTCCCTCCACAGTGTGGAGAAAGTTGGTGCAGGTAAGGTGATATAAAAACAAAAAAAAAAGGGAATGGCAAGCACCTTGAGATGACTGTTGTTTTGGTGTTGTACAAATAAAATGGAATTGAATTGAAAGGAAGAAAGGAAGAGGTTGTGGCCACAGACTGAATAAGAGAGGTGAGCTGCTAAACGAGTCTTCCTTCAGAGTCTTCACAGATACATCGACGTCAATCACAAGTCTATTGGCAAATAGTTTTCTGAAGTACTAACAAATAAGTAGTTACTTTTTATTACAGTTTATGCTCCACAGATTACTCTTTTGGATTCAGGATGTTATCCTGTATACTCGGGACTCTTTCAAAGATTATGTGAATCAGAGCTGAAAACTGAGGATCTGAATTCAGTGATCCTGATGATGGCTTCAAAGAAATATACAGGGACATACCAGCTCACAGCTATTTTAGAACAGATGGTCAGTTGTAATAACACTGGACTGATGTCAGATTGTACTGATGGAAGCCTATTTAATTCAAGAGCATGGATATATTGTATTCTTATATTTTTGTAGTGCATTTGATGATGTCAGACATCTTTTTCTAATGAAAACTTTGCACTACTTTGGATTTGGAAAGAAGCTTGAACACGCAATCCATAAACTCCAAATTCAGTTGCATTTATACCAAATGCATCAACATTTTTAACCACATTTATTTTCTTTGTATAACAAAATTTGTTTACTAAATTAAAATTACATTATCTATATCTTAAATCACTTTGAGACATTGGAAAAGAGAATGCTGCATAGGTTAAACTGGACAAACCATCCTTCTGAGATGAGGTAAAAACTTATCCCACTGCCTTCAAGATGGATGGATAAAGAAGACATTGTGTACTCTGAGACTTCTCCTGGACTCAGACAGCTCTGCATAGCAGCAATTGACTTTTGTGATGATAAATGTACAAAAGGTTTTTAGAAGCATTCAGTTGCAGAAAGTCTAATCTTCTTTTATTTTGAAGGAATTTGAGGCTGAGGAGGTTCATGTAACAAGGAGTAAGCATATTTCACTTCCTCTTCCTCCCAAAGGGAAAGAAGAGAAATTCAAAATTGTAAATGAATTTACCAACAAAATAATCATTCAGGCTTTAGTTGGTTTTACTTGGATATGACCACCTGAGTATTCTGTGAAGATGATATAGAAAGTGTGGATTGTCTGCTTTTTCCACACTGAATCACTGCAGGCTTTCTGGAATCACAGGAGGAGTTGGTTACAGTCCAACAGGATTCAATAAAACAGTATGGAATATGTTTTGGGGCTTTGGTATCAGGACTCTTTTTTTCTTTATGAACTTTTTTTTAATGCTTATGCTTTTTTCATGTTAATTAATATTTTTAATATTTATTGTATTTGATATGTCTCTTGATATGTCTCCTAAACACTCAGCCTTTGTATAATTTATTTTTGTTTGGTGGATAAGCGCCTCATCTGTTCGTATTGCTATTGTTCATTAATAAAATTGGGTGGAAAAGTTCTCTTGTACGACGTGTGTTGAATTTCAGGACTTCTCTCTATTGATCTGGTATTTTCATGCGGTCAGTTTTCACAGCGACACTTCAGGACAACAAAGGTACTGCAAGTTTAATGCAGTTAAAAAACAAAAAAAGACACCCCCCACCAAAAAAAAAAACAAAAGACAAAAACAAAACTATTCGCCGTGAATTTACAATAGATCTTTGTGGGAAAACGAATCGGTAAAAATCCAGCTTTTATGTATGACACACCACAGACAGTAGTTTACACAGGACACACAGTCATCCTCATAATGACTGACAATAAAATAATTAGGACACCTGTACAGGCTATCCGGGGAAATTAACGCAATTTAACAGCAAATATTCTAGATTTTTTTCTTTTTTGTTATTTTCTTCTGTGAGCAGCTCGTTATCCTGTTCTGCACAGCATTCACCCCTGCAGAGTGAAAGTGAAAGTATCCCGACAAACTTCCTGTGACAATCGCGCAGCAAGGGGTATGACCGTGGAGGGCACCGGGGAAGAATCATGAGTTTAATATTCACGATATTTATTTACTGGTCTCTAAGTGCAGGTGAGTTATTGTCACAGATTACAGCTTGTGTGTAGGTCAGCAACAAGTATCGGCACTACAGGCTACCACATGAACTTAACACTGTTTGATTTTCTATGCCCGTGTGTGTGTCATTCAGGTGTGTGGAGTGTCCATCAGATCCTGTGGCTGCCCTGCTACTTCATTGATGAGCGTGTGTTTTTGAATAAGGACAACCACACAGAGACTCAGCTCATCCACAGAGAGGCTATACTTCAGTTTGGTCAGAAAGGAGATGCTCCTGTTAACCCAAACGCCATCACTTTCCTGATCACCAGTGAGTTACTGCAGCCTGCATGAGGAGAAGGCTGAAAACAACATGAACAACAACAACAACAACAACAGTGTGCTAGAGTTTATTTTATTGTCTTCTAGGATCAAAGTTGGATCTGCTGCAGTATGTGGAGGGGGTGGAGGCAGAGCAGCTGAAGTGTGAGCTGCACAGATACAGCACAGAGGGCGGTTACGTCCGCTGGCCTGTCCTCGGTGCCCATGAGTACAACCACTGGTTTACCTGCATCCTCAGACACAGCAGGGGCCTCTTCACCATCACCAGCTTCCTCAGGCGCCCCTTCGACCAGCCTCCCCCAGGATGGCCAGACTACCACAAATGGCCCCCCATCCCTAACAGAGAGGTACTCACCACCACAGGTAAACTGAACATATGAGGATTTCAGACTAAAACTGAATATATTTGTCTTAAAAGTTTGTTTTTTGTTGGAGTTATGACTAGTCGTTAGTATTGCTGTGCCAGACCCCATAAAGGAAGAAAATATAAATATTATGGGAACAAACTTTGACTGAAGGAAAATAAAACAATTAACTTGATTACAAATGACTAACCATCCATTAAAACAAATAATAAAATGTTCATAAAATAATTAATAATAATGAAATAATAAAAATGTACTTAATTCTTCTCATAAAATACATTGATTTGGTCAGTCTGATTAATAATTAAATGAAGAACTACAATCAAAGTTAGACATCAGCAGTCTCACCCGATGACATATTTACATATCTACAAAATGTATTACACCAGCACATAACCTAGAAATATTAGTATTTGTTTGAGAGAGAGTGCGTCCCAGAACAAATGTGTATTTGTCCTATAAGATGTGGTTGAATGCATCATTAATGACAACAAAGAGCATCTGTGGCAGGTGCTTTGGATTTCCTCAACGTGTGCAGGAATTTTTAAGCTAATTAAAGATAAGAAAGTGTTATCATGTGGAACAATGGTACTGAGTTAATGAGGAAGATTGCATGCATGTAACAGGAACCTGTGTCTGTGTAACTAATATCAGCCAGTTGGTGTTAATGATTACATGGATGAGACAAATAAACACATGTACACAGATAAGAGGTAAGGATCCTTGTGTTAAGCTATATGCACAGTAGGCTGTACCCAGGTGGTTTGTTAACTGAGTGGTATATGTACCCAGCTAACCAGGAATCTTCAGCCGTAATGGCCTAGAATTAGGGATTGCCAGAGGTGTCACATTTCAGATTTAAGAAATGTTGCACCACTTAGGGTTCATCTTCAACTTTCAATACACAAATGAAATATGGCCTTTCCCATGGCTCCTACACTGTTATTGGACACTTGTATTGAGAAATGTGCTTAACAACTCGCATGTGTTCATGTTTGTCACACTTTTCCACAGTCGCCATGGTCATCAAAACACAGACTCCCTCAGTTAAAGCACGCCTGAAGTTCCAGCAAAAGCTCCACTGCCAGTTTGATGTCGACCACAAAGGTGCAAAGGTCACTGTGGAGTGGCACAAGCAGCACCACGGTGAGAGGACCAAGCTCTTCAGTTACAACAGGCGCACAGGACAGACCCAAGGAAGTGGTGTTGGACTACGTGCCTTTGCAGCCGGAGATGCCTCCTACACCCTCGCCTCCACCATGATAAGCAGTGAAGGGACCTACATTTGTTCAGTGTCCGTGAATCCACTATTCGGCAGGGTGGATATAAATCTGCAGATTGAAGGTGAGGAAAACAGTCAGAGAGTTCATAGGCCATGGACAAAAGTACTAATACTAAATTGTGCTTATATGCTTTCAACCACATTTACTGATGGAGTTTAAGGTGGACTGTGAAAAAGCTGTTTGTGATGTGTACAGCATAGTGTGACAACCATAAATACTCTTATTATTACTGTTTAAAGTTTGCTGGAGATGTTTACTGCTATCAGGAGCAACGTCAAAAATATGTGGTAGAACCAGTCCGTCGCTGTTTCCTGTTGCATGCCTGCTGTCACTCACTCTGCTGTTCACGCCCACTTTTCAGCATTATCAGCATAGCGTCATCGCCATCAGGCTACATGCTGTTGGAGGGCTGCACATGAACATGTCTGCAAAACCATGTCTCCTGAATAGGGCAAAATAGTGTGTAAAAGTATCTTTGTAAATGCTGACAAAAAATGTTTTTAACTCTTTTTTTTTTTTATTCAGTCTTTTTTTCTTTTTTTTAAAAAAAAAAAGCAAATCAGGCTCTTAAAGTGTTCATTCTCATCTTATGTGATAAAAGTCGTATGGTGTGGATGTGTTTTTTAGAACTTAGAAATATAGAAAGTCACTGTTCGTTTCAGCTTTTAAAGTAATGTTTTTTGCTTTCCTCAGAGCCTCCCCATGTCTCCCTCAATGTGGGACCCAGTCTCTCACTAGTGGAGGGTAACAAGAGGAAGATTGTGTGTGGGGCAAACAGCTACTACCCTCGGGATGTGGAGATAATTTGGTACGAGCAGGATCCAGTCATGTTGGACGCTCCACATCCCAGGTCACTGGAGAATGTCTTCCTTTCCTACCACAAAGAAAATCGGGACATGACCTTCTCGTTGTCGGGCTTCTTCTACCTCCAGGCTTCGCTCAGGGACTCTGGGAAAAGGTTCACATGCAGCGTTTCCCATCAGTCCCTGAAAGTGCCCATCACAAAGAGCTTCACCCTGATTGTGGAAGGTGAGTCTCAGTGTAATACTAGGAGCTAGCATCTGGGAGGAGCAGAGCTTGATGTGTGTTCTGTTTCAGAGCCAACAAACTGGATGTTGTACTTCGCTGTGGGCTCTGTTATGATCCTGCTGTTGTATGTGAAGCGGCGCTACCTGCACTCAGGTGAGTGATACAGACCTGCTGCTACATCAAAACACACACACAAGGAAAGAATACAGTCATACGAGCTTGCTGTTTTGGAGTCACTGACATGAAAGCATGTAATATGAAGATCATTATGACATAACTCATTGATGTTCTAGAGGGTAATTGTCATTTTTCTTCACAGCATGGAGAACGTTAGCGGGTAAGGCGATATAAAAACAAACAAACTGGAGGACTGGGATCAGAGCGAGAGGATGTGGCCCCATTCTCAACACACAAGGCTGGCTGGCAAACTGTCCTTTCTGGGGTCCCCATAGAAACACCAGTGAAAGGTAGATTTGTGTCGATGTGTAAACTCCTGCATGTATGAATGTAAAACAGTGCAATAACATTAAAACTACTGAAGATTACGGGTTAGCAGCTGCTGAGCCAGTGGATTCAGGAGCCAGGACTGATTCTTCTGATGCACGAGACACTTTTTGGACTAAACACTGGGGAGACAAGGTTCTATATAAAACAGAATATTGGAAACTGAATGTCAGTTTACTAAATGAAGATTACTGTAAAATTAATAAATATAATAAGGATGCTGAAAAGAATGTACGCTGTAGATTCAGGTTAGTAAACAGGAACAGAAAGATCTCTTTCAGACTGGAATGAAATGCAAACCAAGCTAGTGTACTTCTACTGCTGGTTTATCAAGGCTGGATAAACAGGAGGGTTGCATCAGGAAGGGCATCCAATGTAAAATCTGTGATAAATAAAATATGCACTACCTTTACTATAAGCTTTTATTTAAACACTCAGGTGAAAAATAAACCAAGTAAGATGATGTTTGGAGAGCGCGGGCAATTCTAGGTTTAAACCTTTTTTTTTGGGGGGGGGGGGGGGGGGGGTTTCAGCTCCCAGTCATGCATGCAGTGCCTTTATTTATTAGTAATGGAACATGCTGTTTGCAAATGTCATCAACCTTTTTCACACTTGCAAACCTTAACTCATTTTGATTAACATCACAATGTCACCTTCAAAAGGAAATGAGTTCCTCTACGAATAATTCAGAGTGAATTGTGAGAGATTTCAATCTAATCCACCCATTTTAGCATGGATCCAAACGGAGGCAAAGGCTCAGTCATTAAAGAGGCACTATTTCAGTTTCTTAATCACATAGAGCCAGCTCACTGAGTCACCAAGCACTTAAAGTAGCATTACATAGTATAAACAATGGAAAATCCCTGCATAGACCTTGTACATGAAGCAAACTTGTAATAGAGTTGTTTTATATGTTTTTGAATTCATACAAATGCTCCCTTTGTTATGCAGACTCAGCACAAAGCATCATGTACCCTAATTTCACGAGTGGAGAACAGATTTGTAGTCTGTTCCCTCTGACTCTGTGTGTCTCTCTCCATATTCCTGGAATTGTATTTGTTGGAAAATGATAAAAATATAATCTTATAATTACTATAACAGCAGGTTGGTGTTCCAAATAATCAACAACAGTACAACCCACTACTTAGATACGTGAAATCATCATTAATAAATGTGGGTAAAAAATGAAGCTACAGCTTTATAATTTTTGGTGAATGTGACTACATGTCCACTCTTACCTGTTTCTTTTTGCTCTCTCTCTTTGCTGTCTTCACCCTACTCCCTCTCTATCCTCCTCTCTCTCAGTCTTTGTGCCATCACCCAAATGTTAAATGTTGCAGTGAATAAAAGATAAACTGATCCATATCAGTTTATAGCAATATTCAAACTGAATACAGGTTGCTGCTGACATACATAGATAACAACATTCTGACTTGCTGCCACCTGGATCTGGAGCTGTACAGTAAACAAACACTGAAGCCCAATTTGACCAGAATAGGAATAGAAATTTGTAACAAACTATTAATAGTAAAGTTCATCAGCTCCTTGGCTGGCAACTCGCAATATCCCAGCACACTAGTGGATTAAAGGTTAAAATTAGCTACATCAGCTAATGCTTTTGACCCTATATAGCATGCTTGAGCACACCCAAAAAGAGTCTAAACTTGCCTATCATGATGTTATGATGGTATGTCCAAGAGCAGCCTGTATTCAGAGTTCATGATCCCTTTATATTAAAAATCACAAGAAAAAATTAAGCTGAGCAGATGAGAAGAATTCCTCATATTTTATCAGTTTTAGAAAAGACAACAAAATTCAGTCACAGGTTTATTGGTAACTGCAAAGATTTGAAAGAAGAGTCGAAAGAGAAGCACTCTCACTAATGGAGGGTAACAAGAGGAAGCACTCACGTTTTTTACTCCAGAGTGTTCCCACATAGCAGACAGGTCTGGCCCGGATCTGGTGTCTAGCTGCCACTGCTGGCTGACTTCTGGCATGGTAAGTGGTATGTCATCCAGATATGGGCCAGGCCTGGCATAGGTGGCACTGTCTATGTGATGGCATGCCACATCTGGCCCGATTACGGTTTGGTTTATGTGGCCCAGGCTCATTGAAAACAGGTCTGGCCTGGATCCGGCGTCAAGTTGGCACTTCTGACTGACTGGTGTCATGGCAGGGTGTATGTCAACCAGATGTGGGCCAGGTCTGGCAATGATGGCACTATTTATGTTCCTCTTTTCCTATTTTAGTTAGAAGACCCAAATGCCATGTTACAATACTATACTGCAATGGTAGCCAACGTTTCAAATGCAGGTTTGACAGGTTTGTTAGTGTACATTTTATCTCATGTTTCACACTGGGTGGCTATAGCTCAGGAGGTAGAGTAGGTCACCTACTGATCGGAAGGTTAGTGGTTCAATCCCTGGCTCCTCCAGTCTGCATGTCAAGAGTGTGAATGTGTATGAATGTAGTTAGGAAGCACTCAGTTTAGAGAAAGTGGGTGAATGTGGCATGTTGTATAGAGCACTTTGAGTAATCTGGGAGAGTAGAAAAGTGCTTTGTAAGAATCAGTCCATTCACTGTCTGAACAGAGTTTCGTCATGTTATTTTTGCACTATTATGTTCCGGCACATGTTGTTATTACATGGCTTGATTAAGGTACACATTAGGCTGACATCTGGGGCCAGAGCTGAAACTGTTCTGGGCCAGCACAGGGCCCCAGCAGTATGTCTGCAACTGGCCTTGTGCTGGCCCATGTGTGGGCCACCTCTGGCAAACCAGATCTGGGCCACCAAAGGGCCGTCATTCTTTGCGGTATGTGGGCCATGTGTAAGCACATTGTGTGAGCCAGATCCGGGCCATACCAATTTTGCTATGTGGGTTACTCCTCACCTTACTCTTTTGGAGATGCTGACATGTTCTTTGATTAGATTCAGAATGTTGTGCTTTGGTCCTTAAACCTGGATACTGGTTGAAAGAACCTCACAGCCCATTGTTCATTCAGTGGGCTAGTTTCAGTCATTGTGCAAGTGTACTGTTTATAAGAATGTGGAAACCTGCAGTCAGCTAAGACTGAAGAAGTCACTTGGATGAGCAACGAAACGTTTCTCCCACTGAAAACGCCACGCCAAAGACATTCTGTCTAATTTATTAAGAAATTATTTTAACAAATAAACCTTTCTTGTTTAAATATGTTATGGTGTGTTCTCCCTTTGATTGGGACGTCTTGGTGTTTTTTTTATTAAGACAAATAAAATATACACTGTACATAATAATGTACAACACAATGTTATAATAGATTTAGAGTATTGTTGTGCTGTGGGAGCTCCTCCGCATGATTATGTAATTAAGGTACGTTTATATATATAATATACTACTACTTATATATAACCATCACTATATGTATAGTGTATTTCTTTCTACATTTTAGACCAGTGGACCAAATAGGTTGTGAACTGGCTTTTATTTAGGAGTAGGTAGGTCCTCTCTTCCTCGATGGCTCCATGACTCTCATTATGTTGTACACTAGTTCACTCTCTCGCGCACAAATCGCCACCAAAACACAGCACAAGCCCTGCCAGTGATTCAGTTCCTTACAAACCATTGAATTAGGTAGTGAAGCAGCGACATGCCGAATGAAGCTTCAGATGTCATTGATCATACGACTCTGTTCAGACACAGGCACAGTGTTTCTGAAGCAGTGTGTTGATTTTTGTGACACATGCGCTGTCTGGATGAGGCTATTTGAATAACCAGGTTATTCATTGTTATCTTTTATTCTTTTATATTCTTTTATTAAGTTTTAAGTAGTATCATTTGATTAAAACATTTATTCAATATATTGCACATATAGTTTCAGTTGTGTACGTGCTGGCCTTCTGTCTGGTGGAAAGGTTACAAGATTTAGCTGGTGAGGTGAGAGGTGAAACTGAGTGCATTTCAGGTCGACACAAACACACACACACACACACACACACACACTTAGAATCCCTCAAAATATGTTGCTTGTGACTGCAAAATTGTGCCTGCAAAAGAACAGTTTGTTGCAGAATGTGTGCCTGATGTTCCAGACGATAAGCGAGCCTCCGGCAGCGACAGGAAGACACTTGGGATGGAGACGAGGTGATGTTGTTTTTTCAAACTATGTTAAACGTCATTGTGGTTTTGAAACTTATGCATGTATTGTATCTGCTTGACGCATGAGGGGGCGTCATAAAGGTAAACCCTAATGGTATAAAACAGCTGCTTGTGTATTGTTAGGGAGAGATTGATGCTGTCTGCGTACAGTGTTCATCTCCCACACGTGTGTTCATTAAAATCATCGTTTGACCAACCCTCCTGTATCCCTTCTCAATATTTGAACCCTTAACAATACTTAGGAATTTTCATTCCCATACCTTTGGGCCACTTGTTTGAGAAAAATTCTAATAAAATAATTCAACGTATCAGCAATGATTGAGAGCAGTGGTCTATTCTCCTGTCCCGAATGAGCTGAGTTGAATGTTCTGCCCAGACTATTCTATTTATTTTACAGATGATACCAGTTGAAAATCCAAACGAAAATGCTTGATAAGCTGGACAAAATACCTTCTAACTTCATATGGGATAAACAGCAGCGTAGAATTAGACTCAAGACCCTGCAGTTGTTTAAGATAAGGGGGGGTATTAATGTTCCTAATTTTAAACATTACTACTGGGCTGCACAAATAAAACCTTTGCTGACATGGCTGCCAAGTGATATTCATACTTGCTGGCTCAATATAGAAAATAGAAAATATCCTGAACCAATGGAAACACTTCCTTTTCTAGATAGTCTCGTAAAATTGTTAGGTGCGGCTGTGTGCAAACAGGAAAAGGACCCAAGGTGCAGACTCCAGAGACAGATGTAAACTCAAAAACCGTTTTAATGTTAAACTCAAATATAACATAACTGGAAACGATCAAAAAAGATAAACTAATACCGGAGGACTGACAGAACACACAGCTTGGTAAACGGTAGATCGTGACACAGACACTAAGAAACACAGGGCTTAAATACGCAGAGGGAGCAATCAGGAAATGAGTAACAGGAGGGAAACACAGCTGGGGCAAATCAGGCCTAACGAGACAAGAGGAAGCAAAACCAGACACCTTAACATCAGACATGGACTTTCAAAGTAAAACAGGAAACACATAACACAGACTGAACAAAGACACAGACTCATATGCAGGCACTACAAAGGGAACAGAGACGTGGGAACAGGGCAGACACAAACACTGACTGAACACGGGGATATAGGAACTTAGGATACACATAGACGCGAACTAGACAAGGGGATGCAGGTGATAGGGGAGACAGAGCACTTAAAGAAGACAGAGACCTAAGCCATAAGACAGAACTTAAAGAAACCAAAAACTAGACAGTATAAATAATATCGTAAACTCAAAAACCCTGGGTCGACGACCCAGGCATCCTAACAAAAATAAATGGCAATCTGGAGAAAAAAAATACATTAGAGTTTTGGAACAAAATTCAGTCAGTACTGGGACCACAAAAGTATCATTCATCACTATCAAGCATTGGATCTATGAAACCCTTTTCCCTGTCCACTTTTTAAATGCAGTATTTGGATACTGCATTTAAAAGTGGGCATATAATGGACTGAAATGTGAACATCAACTATTGGAACAAGGGAACTTTAAGACATTTGAACATCTGAAGAATGAATTTAATCTCCCCAGGACAGATTTCTATAGACACCTACAACTAAGGTCCTTTTTGACAACACTCGAGAGCTAGGGAAACATTGCCAACCCCACACCAATTGAAGAATTTCTAAAAAAAAAAAACAACAACAACCCAAAAAACAGATGGGAAACAGAGACAAGACTACTACTATTAGTCAAACCTATGACGCATTTGCATCAATGATTAAGCATAATTCCCTGAGGATGAGGGGAAGGTGGAAAGCAGACATAAATGAAAAATACCTGATGATACCAAGTGGGAAATATGTACTAAAGCACACCAGACCACTAATTCAAACAGATGGAGAGAGTTTAAATGGAAAATTATCAGCAGATTCTACAGAACACCAGAAATAACTGATAAGATGGGCCCCACACTTCTGAGTTCATACTGGAGGATCTGTGGGACACAATCTACCAACCATACCCATATATTTTGGCTCTGCCCTAAACTCTGTGTATTCTGGAGGCAGATATTTGATCCTATAATTTGAGTTTTCAAAGTAAATATTCCACTAAGTCCTACAGTAGCAGTTTTGGGAAGGATTCCAGAACTTATTGACTGCAAAGCCAAAACTTACCTCACTGCAGCCCTAAAATGCATAATTATTAGATGGTTAAAACCAGGACCTCCCACATATAATATATGGATCCAGAAAGTGTACGATGTCTATCAAATAGTCAACTTTCACAAGTCTATTAACCAACCAACCACGTGACTTCATGTTCCGTAGTGACAGAAGATGGCGCTTTAAACTTTAACTTTAAGCACTTATTTCTTAAATGCAACTTTACAGACAGAGTTACATCTATGCCAGTTTTTCAGAGCAGGGCTCAGTGGTTAGCCTTTATATGTATAGCATTTCACATATTATGTTTTTCTTTTCTCACAGTTCACCCACTCTTCCATGAGCTGGTCCTGGACTTTTGATCTCCTTTTTTAAGCATTCTTCTTTTTGCTTGAGTTCTTTCTCTTTTACTTGTTTTGCTTTTTTGTCAATTACTGCCTGGCTTAAGTTTTGCTTCAGGGTAAATTGTTTCTACCATCAGCGTTTTGGCGCCGGAGCGCGCCGCTGCCTGCTGCCTTGCGCTTCTCCGACCCTGGGACACGGGCCCCGCCAGCGCGCTGTAGCGGCCGCGACCGCTGGAGACAAAGAAAAACTGCTCTTCATAGAAGACTCGTGCTCTGGGAGATGTTTCCTCGACTCCGGCTCCCAGAAGAGCCTCCTTCCCCCGTCCGGAGCCGACAGTTTAGCAGCGGGCTACGGACCGCAGCTTATTGACTCTCCCATCGCAACCTTC